GAAATGAATAAATTATTTTAGAAATTATTTTTTTTATAAAATCTTGGTAAAAACATTTATTTCTACATCTCTCAAATCCCACTTATTTAATTTTATGAAATTTCAAGAAATTAATTTTTGTACCACTTAAATGTATATGTTAGTTATTCACCGAACTCTTTGGAGAATTTATATCATCAATTTATTTTTATAAAACAGGACCCCCCCCACTCCCAGTTACTGAAAATCTGCTCTGAATCATAAAAGGAAAATGAAATAAAACTAAGACATTATTCAATTAGAAAAGCTTTTAATCACTTTTATGAATAAGATATATAATGGACACTATTGTCTTAAGAAAAAAATTTTTTTTTGATGAATAATGAATTTTTACAAGAATTGTTTTCATTTTTTAAAAATTTTAATTAGAATAATTTATAAAGTTTGAAATCTTAAAAATTAAAATTTTAATTAGAATAATTTATAAAGTTTGAAATCTTAATTTGTAACTGTTAGGTGGTATTGTTATTAAATAAAAACTATATTTACTAATCATAAATGAAAATCCTTAGTATAATGTATCGACCCTCAATATCTTAAAAAAGAATTTTGAATTTTTTGTGTGTATAAATGTGCCACTGTTTTTAAAATATGGACATCCATACATGACATCATCAGAAAGTAAGAGTGATAACTATAGTAAATTTAAAGTCAAAGTACCTAAACTCCAATAAAACATTAGATTATCCAAATTATTTTCCTAAATTTTTAAAATTACTGGGTAGTTAAAAACTATATAAAATCACTCACATTCTATTCCTCAAGTAAATTTTACAGATATGTCCACTGTAGAAAAAATTACATAAACTTCTGTCTCTCAGTCAAGTTGTCAACCTGTAAACACCTTAAATAAACACCTACCACTCTGTTAAAAAATGCATTTATGCAATGCAATAAAGTAAGTAATATTAGTTTCAAATCAGATTAATTAAACTTTAAATCAGCTAATATTCATCAAATAAAGTTTTAGAAAAGTCTATTTTATTTTTGAAAGATTTTTAATATAGACAGATGGCTAAAAATGGTGCTAAAATCAGCAATTTTTAGCAATTTCTAAACAAAAACTCCTTCCAGTCAATTTAAATTGGTTTCAAAATACAGCAAAGTATTTTGCTTATTGGAAATATTAAATTTAACCTATTAGCTTGAAATAAAAGCTTTGAGAAAGATTTTTTATTTTTAAAAATTAATTTTATACCTTAGGTATAGCTTTTAGTGTAGGTACTGATAATTTTATGTAACTGATTAGTTTATTAAAAATATTATTTATTAAAAAAGATAATAGTATTTTTTATTGTGTACTTGCATGTTAAATTAAAAAACTCAATAAAAAGAAAAAAATATTAAAAAAATGAAAAATAGAATGGAAAATTTAAAAAAATTAAAAATGAAATAAAATAAAAGAAACAGAAAAAAATAGAAAAATGAGAAAAAGAAAAAATTTAAGGAAGAAAGTACACCTTAACTTTGATAATAATTTCCTATAACTACAAGGTAAATGTTCTGATTTGTAATATAAAAAGCTTAAAAATTGTTTATATATCTACTTCTCGGAAATGGCAAGCAAGTTCAGTGCCAGGTTTATATAATGTTCCAGTCTTATTTTTGCTAAATAATCATTTTTTTGTTTTTGAGTCAGTTTCTTAAACAGTTACTTGTACACATTGACAACTACCTTCATAATTATTTTTTTCAAGCTATATTTCTGATGTGAATTTAATTTTTCTATTTAAGCTCTGTTGTGAAATGCCAATAAAATGACTTTTGTCATGATATCAAATAATGAAAAAAATGTCAGAAGAAGATTCATGCCTTTCCCAAGAACATTATTCCAAATGAACAGAAGAGCCCCTACTGAAATTCAAACTTAATCAAGTTTGTTTTCTCTGCTGATAACCATTAGGTGATCTTGCACCTCCATATAAGATGTATTACATATACATTGTGACTAATTATTACATATAAATTGTGTCTAATATTATTAGCCACTTAGTTTTCCTAAGTTTTATAAAACTAATGAAGGGGTTCACAGAAATATTTGCCCTATTAACATGTAGGATATTTCATAGAATGTATAAATTACAGTAGATCACATAAAAATATTGCCACATTCTTTGGATGTGGCAATAATTTTATGAATTTAATCAAGTTTCACATTATTAACCAGATTACTGAAACTCCAATAAACATGACATTGTAATTAAAAATTATAATTACAGATTGTCTGTAAAGTTTACAAAGACAAATGTTTTGTACAAAAAATTGAAAACTCTATATTTCTGAGATGAAGTATTTTAACTATTTACACTATTTACATTGTTCAAACTGTTGTCCTTATCTTTATTGTCATATTCACAATGTTTTGCCCATTGTAACCTTCGGCCTTCTTCATTGAACAAATAAACTTATTTCAATAAGCATTTATTTTATATATCAATAATATATAAAATGGCTAATAATGTGAGATGTAGTGTATATGTATTCATTTTTTATAACCAATAAACTATAATCTATATTATTTATAAACAATATAAATTATGAAATGGCTAAGCTTCTATAGTTGCAGAAATTCTATCTATATTTTAAAACTTGACAAAGATAGGAGTTGCTACACACTCTTTAGCTATAAAATCTTTGGAAGAGTCCTTAATATCATCAAGTCCTTCCTATCAGGTAGGTCCTTGAAGGTTGTTGTCAATGGACAGGTTTCTGAAGCTTATGAGATCAATGCAGGCATCCCACAAGTTTTCCTTGGTCCTATCCTTCGTCTACTTTATATTAATGATCTGCCTAAGAAAATTCTAAGATTGTTAATAATATCTATGCAGATGATACTGCAGTGTTTGTGATGCACCTCCAAAAATCTAGCCTAATAGCCAAAGAGAAAAAATGGTTTCTAGCTTTCACTACTTCAAAAACCAAGCAAGTAATGTTTCATCACCAGTGAGCAGACCCTAAATTTATTCAAATTCTAAAGAACAGTTGTACTCTCAATGAGATTCTATGCCTCAAACATTTATTGGGTTTAAAGCTCACTTCAGACCTTAAGCGGAACTCATATATTTGAATCATTTCTAAAGATGCTAGAAAAAGAGTTGGTTTCTAATACCATTCCAAAAAGTAACTGACTCCACCTGTCATACTCTATCTTTACAAGAGTCAGATCAAACCAAAAAGAGAATATTTCTGCTATATTTTGGCTGGAACTACCCAGTTCTCACTGTTCAGCCTTGGTTCAAATGAATTTATATGGCCTTGGGGGTGATAAATTACTTTTCACCCTACAACCGTTTTTCAACAGATGAAATGTTTCTAGCCTTTTGCTATCACTATTCTCATGACAGATGTTCAGATGAGCTACATTCCTTAGTTCCACCAGTTCATGTCTTCACAGTTAGTACTTGCTATGTCACATGCATATGGTCAACTCATTCTCTTTGTATTCCATTAGTAAAGAGGAAGTTTCACTCAGATATCTTCCTTAGAATTGTTACTTTTTGGAACAGACTCTTGAGAGATGCTTCATTGATCATCATGATCTTAACCTTTTCAAAACTAGGATGGACAATTATTTATCCTCCATATCCTAATAATATGCACTTCTTACTCCCTCCCTTTATGTTCTTACAACTTAATTTAGTAACCCTATACTTTGAGTGATTCTTGGGCCTTGTATTAGATGAAAAATAATATTAAAAAATCTTACAACTTACAAACAATATAAAAAGTATAACATAAAGTAATATTTATGAAATCTGATATGCTTATTTGCAGCTCTTAGATATTGTATATTTTACTATGATTCTTATATTCCCAAGAGCACTTTTTTGAAACTCATGTACAGATTTGTGGCAACAAGGTTAAACAGTAATAAGCATTAGACATCTCCAATTTAGTAATCTATCTTAAATATATAAAAATGGTTGAGTCTTGAGCAAGTTTTCATTCATAACATTTGAAAAAAATATCTCATTTAGACATTAAAAAGCAAAAACAAATTATGAAAGAAAATTGTTTTTTAGAACTTCTCATTATAATTATGAAGTGATGGAAAATAAAAAAGCAAAAAAAGGTGATGTATGTTTGTCCAAAGAGATTTGAAGATAAAAACAAATTTCATCAAAAGTTGATAAAAAAAATATGAAAAAATAAACATGCACAAATAAATACAAAAAGTAATAAAATCTTGAAAGCAACAAATCATTTGAATAGAAATACAATTTTTTTGAATTTCAGAGACCAGATGTGGCTATTATGTATTGATTTGTTCAAGCCAGTTTCCTCATATTTGTTGGCTTCATCACAACATTTCTGTCACTGTACCTTTTGGCCCTTTTTTCTGAATTTTTAAGACAAGAATACTAAAGATCGATTCAATTGAACAAGTGTCTTCATTGCTATTTTTATCATAGATTTTTGGCTGATGTACTCAATGTACAAACCCATTGCCAAGAGAGGGCAGCTACTTCCCCAGAAAATCATTTATTTCTATCCCTATGAAAATGATATGAACTAATTTTAGTGTGAATTCTTATTTGTAGCTACACTTTTGACTTAAACTCTCCCTCCCGCAACTGTCGTTGTATAACAGCAACTGATACATTTAAATCAGTTTCCTTATCATTGTTATCTTTGGTCTTTCTAGGGTGCCTGTCACATTTAGTAGTCTTCCAGGAATGTTGAATGAAAACTTTAATTTGATTTCTTATTTCTATATTTGTTACTTCTGGTGTCTTTGCCAGGGAATTCTTCAGGAATTTGTCAATTCTTCCTTATGATGCTGGTAAAAAGTTTATCTGATGCCCAGTATGTTGTGAGTGTAAACAGTGCTGAAATATATATGGGCTCAGCAGAGAAACAGATTATCATCACAAGGATAGCAGATACCGTATAGTGATTCTTTTGGATCAATTTTCTTATCTCTGTTGTTTTCTGTTTGACCACTGTTCTTCCAGCCTTCCTTAAGTGGAAAGGTTCTTCTCTGGATCAGGTAGGGAAGAAATATATCCTATTTTAGAAGAGAGGCTGTGTTTCTGTAAGAAAAATTTGATGGATATAACAGCCATAGTAATGAGAACAACATAACCATTTGTTCAAATAAAATGTTTTTGTTTGATATTCCCAGTAGGTTAACACCTGAGAAAGGTTGGAGATTACAGTGGTCAAAATACTGTGATAAAAACAAGAAGACTGGTCTGAATGAATCAATGTATAATAGTAAGAAGGATTGCAGATGTTTCAATAATCAAGATTTGATTTGTCCTTTAATCTAGGAGATTATGCTGTGCATTGTTCTTCATGGCATATCTAGAGCAAAGGCAGGCACCTTGAGGTAGTGTAATGGTTAGCAAACATCTCGCTAGAACAATTATGATTGAGTAGTGAGTTTGATCCTCACTGGGTGCCCCCTACATTTGGCCTTGTGCCACATCTAAGTTACGCTTGGAAAATCAATATCTAGAGCAAAAGCAGTAACTTGATAGTGCCTATCTATGTTTTAAATAACCAGCAACACTGGGTTATATGATGCTATTTGCATGGAAGAGTTCCTTACCCAAATGCATTTTTTTGTTCATAGCATGTCAATAATGATACTTTTTGATATTAGGTAATGTTATACAATACAGGGAGAAATAGATTCATGCCATTCCCGAAGATGTTAGTATGCAACCTCAGCAGGTATTCAAACTTTTTTCATTTTTCAACCCACAATCCACATCATACCTCTGAAAGCATGAAAGAGCTGATTATTTGAAGGCCGGTGTCAAATGCTAATATTTCTGTCTTGAGGACACTCTGGGAATATTCTTTTATGACAATTTTGCAAAACTAATGAAAACAGTAAAAGTTCTAGAAGGTTCTGGTTTCTCTTCTTGAGTATTCTGAGAAAATATATTTATACAATTTATTTTTATTTTAAGACATAAAGGAAGAGTAAAATAACATGCTTATTGATAATCAGTACTTGATTTACAGAAAATTAGTGTTGATAGTACAAACGTAATTTGCATAACGTTCTCCCTATCTTATAAGAACTCAAAATAATCAAATTTCTTTTCTTGGATAGGTGGCCTGAATGTTGAATTCTCAGGCAATATGTTGTCATTTTTTTTTTGACAGTATGAGTAAAGTAGTAGCAATAATATTTACAAAATGCTTAGTAGATCTTAACATGGGACAATAAAAAACTTTGTCTGCGAGCCAGACAAATGATGTATTAGACTAAATTGAAAATGCTTATTCCAAATTTCATAATTTTCAATAAATTTCAGTAATGTCCTAGAATGATTGCAGCCTAAATTATGGGGTAGGATGAAATAATTGTCACAGTTTGTCTATTTGAAACTCAAAGGTATGTTCAAGTTAAATAGTATTTTAGTAAATAGTACATTTATGTTCAAGGAAAATTGAAGTGATGTTAGTAAATGATCCAAATATATTGGTTGATTATTACTAGTTTGTACATTAGATGATCAGCTTAAAGCACAAGAGCAAATGTTTAAAACATTTTTGAAAATATGAGAAATGAAGTGATTATTTCACATTTATTTTATTATTTTCTAAATCCTAAAGAAAACTGTATTCTTTATTTTCTATTAGTTTCAATGTAGCAAGGTTCCCACCCAGTATGTCCAGAATCTTCAAGTACAGAATTGTTTACAGAATTGTTAATGTGGACATTGAGCAGCATAACTGTGACTAAATCCTAAAGAATACATTTTCTTTTTCCCCATGAATTTCAATTTCAGACATAGTGAGGATGGAAATCATTAAATGAGTACATTAATTTGTTATACAATCTCATCTGTACCAGATAGCCTGGCAATGCGTAAAAACTGATATGAAATTAAATATAACCTTATTTTTTGTATTTATTAAAAACCATATTCTTTGCTGCATTTGATCATATTTCTAAACAATTTTTTCTCTATAATTCTTTATCACAAATAGTTAATACTTTTTTAAATGTGATGAAAATTATTTATTACATTGACTGTTTTCAAAACTGCAATCTTTTTGGTAACATATTTTTAAATGATTATTTGTGCGAGGTGCTACCTATAAGCTTGAGGAATCTGAATAATGTACATGTAGTATTAATACTGCTTTTAAGATGAAAGTGTATAGAAAGCACTTTCGTGGCTTTGATTTGCGTCTAGGTTCTTACAACATTTCACCTTTCTTGGTAGATCTTCTATTATTACAATGTGGTATACTTAATAAGTGATAAAAACAAAAGTATAGGAAAACTGGATGAAATTGGCTAGACTACATACCCAAACACACATAAAAAAATTAATTTAAAAATTTAACTTTTCAACATTCCAATATCTTCAGTGTTTCCTGTTGGTGCATGATTGTAGCCAATGCTCACAGTTTTATATCACTTCCTGCCCATCCTACACATATATAATTTCATCAACAAAAACATTAATTTAGTCTGATAAAGTCCTTTTAGAAGAGGAAATGTGTTAAACAGAATTTTTTCCACTTTGTCATTCATTTGCCTAACATTGTTCTGATATATAGAAATTTACATATCATATTCTCCAATAATGTCTTTTATAAGCAGTAATCTTTATGTAGTTGCTGTATACATCTCCAAGGGAACTGCTGAAAAGGAAACAGTAGAAACTAGATGTAAATTTTTTTCTTTTTTATTCATGACCATATCTGACTTGAATCTGAATTTAGCATAGTAGTTATTGGTGTGGAAAGTGGAATTGACATAAAGAGTTTCAAATTTGAGCTGAAGCCATTGTGTTCACTTTTGCGTAAACACTCTTAGGAAAGGTATAAATTGATCTCTTCTCATACCAGCTACAGATGGGCTCTGTAGTTTTGGTTGACAACCAGTCTCAAAGGACAACTTTGAATTCAAAATTAGGTGGATGTGGGGTGAGTAACTTTTTTCCATAACAACTTATTTGTTATGGAAATCATAACCGTAGGGTGAGACCTATACTCTAACAGGAGTCTATAGTGTTAACATACATATGTGGCTCATTGCACCTCTACAAACAAAATTAAGGGATATTGAATATATGAACTGAATTTAGTATGGTGTTTTGCTGTTACACTTTGTGATCAATATCCTTTGTGAGATTTTTGTATATTGCAGTATCCTTTTTTGAGATAGTAACTGCTTCATAGTTATTGAGATAAGTAAATTCCACAAAATTTTGGGTAGTTCCTCTTATGTGAAATCAATTTGATGGAGAGTATGAAGGCTGTGTCCTTTGTCTTTTATGAAGCAGAAAAATGAAAATGTTGGATTTCAAAAAGGGCACAAGGAACAAATTGTGCTTTGATGGACACCCAGAATTAAAAAAAAAAAAAAACAGGTAAAAAGGTGAAAAGGATAGTTAACTTACCCAGAATTGAAAGAACTACAACTACAAAATCAAAAATATTCCATGGTTCCTTAAAATAATAGAAACGAAGTCCCATTAACTTCATCACACATTCCCCTGTAAAAATCCCGATGAATACTATGTTGATATATTTCAAGAAGTCCTCAAATGTTCTACTCATGTTATAATGCTCCATAGCCATAGTGATCATATTAAGTAAGATCACCATCATGATTGCTATATCAAACTTCTGATTAGTTGTTAAATGGAACATCCATTCAGCGATTTTGAACTGTAAAAAGAGAACAAAAATCAAATTACGATATCATAAAAAAGCAATAAACATAAAGCAAGAGAAAAAGTCAATTATAAAACATATATATAAGGGTATGCTGAGAAACTCTTGGCCTGACCAAGAAGAGATTAAAAAAGTTTGTTAGATTTTGAGAAGTGGGTCAGACTGAAAACTTTTCAGCACCCCCTGTAATACATTATTTCATTAATTAAAATAAGTGTTCTGAGTCAATTTTTTTTGTGAACATATAAAAAAAATGAAGATAAATTGTATTAATTACAAACCGTAAAACAAGCATGGATCCAGTGGGCAGGAATTCAGAGGGATACCCAGTTTGCCCGGGTAAAGCACAATTAAAAATTTTTTTTAATATCTAGATAAAGAAATTTATAAATGAAAAATGATCAACAAAAAATAATCCCAGGTAATCATAAATTAACTTTTGAAACAAAAATTTATTATTTTTTTTTTTATCAAATATAAGTAAGATGTCTTCTGTCTTATTTTTCATAATTTTTTTATTTATTAGTTCTGTGGTTGATAGATTCGTTTTTTATGGCTTATTCAGCATTTGTTGGCTATTTAAAGCAGAAACATATTTTGGATTACAATCCAGAATAATTCTTTTTTTTTGTGAGTGAATATTGCAATTTTTTTTCAGAATAACAGATGACACATGACCACAACTAAGTAAATTTATTAATAATAATCAACAGTGAATAATTAATGAATAAATACAAAATACTGTAAGTAATCAATAATAAATAATGAGTTAAAAGTTAAGAAACAACCCTATACTTGTTTGACAAGTTCCTTTTTTATGCTGATGCTCAGCCTGAAAGCTTTTAATGCATGAGAGAATTTGTTAATGATCCATTGCATACCTTCAAGGACGTGGGCTACAATTGTGCAATCATCTGCAAAGAGCAGGTCATAAACAGTTTTGTACAATCGTCTTAGTTCTTGCTTTGGAGTGTTGATGGTTGAACAACCCCACTTGTCCTAAACTCAAATCGAACATTAACTTTATTTGAAAATCATGTCCACAGTGTTTCTACCAAACTGAAACCAGCACTAAGATTCCAACAAGACTTAATCAGCTAGTGAAGAGTAGAGTCTATTCAAGATGATTCTTCCAAGAATCTTCCCAGCAAACACACAGAAGGGTAATACCTCTATGGTTGTTACACTTTCATTTATTGCCTTTGTGATTATAGAGGTGGACAATAGAAGCATCTTTAATACTCCTGAGGAACTGATCCTGAATACTAGATTAAAGAAAGGAAATCACAAAGTTTAAAAACCAGGATATTGCTGCCACATTTGTATATCTCTGCTCATATGCCATCATTATAAGAGGACTTCCCATTTGTCAGTTGTTTTGTGACCATTTTTATCTCAGCTATAGATGGAGAAGCTGATTACTCTTCAAGAATCGGCCTCTGTGATAAGCTGTTGATAAGATTCTCCTCAACATTCAAATCCATGTTTAGAATATTTGAGAAGTGTTCTGCCTAGTGTTTTGTCTGTTAGAAGGTTGACATTGGAAGAAAAGGTGGGAATTGAGCCATTTGCAAAACCACCCCTTAGATTCTGATAGAATGATTTAAAGTTGTATCTATTAGTAGTATCCTGCACTTTTTGTGCTTTCTCTCACCATCGTGCTTGTTTCATTTTCCATAGTTGAAATGAGTGTCAGGAAGAGCATCTGGTCTTGTAAAACCTTGCCTCAAGTCATTATGACAGATCCTGTCAGGTAGAACCCACCTTGCATTGTCTGTCGAGATTAATCCCAGTTCTGCCTCAACAAAAAAAACATGGTTATGCATGTATGTATGTATAACATTTGTATGTAGTATATATTATATACAAAGTGTTGTTCAAAACTTCAGGAAATTTAAACATTGAAGATAAATTGAATGTAGTACAGACTATTGCTGCTATCTTTCACAAGATTACCATATAGATGCTCTATACTTTGAAGTTGATAGTATGGATTAGATGGTAAGTTAAATTAATTTCAAGGTAAAATTCCTTGAACTTCTAATAATACCAAAGCAGTACAAATACATTGTTAAGTGTCAGAGAAACACTTCCGGAATCAAGAAGGAGTAACACAAAACACAATTCTAGGAAGAGGAATGGTTCCCTGAAAGTTGAAAGTTTGAAATCAGATGAAAAAGAAAGGGAATAAGGATGGAATTGCATGAAATGAAAATGAAGCTGCTATAAAAGCAGGGCATTCATTAGTGCAGATGAACAGCTCCATCTTGCAAAGCAACACATTTTCTGTCATCATTTTTCAAAGTAGTAGATTTCTATAGAAAGAGAAAGAGAGTTTATGTTAAAACAAAAGAATATCTTACTTCTGGAAAGATTTGTATAAAGAATTTTATAAAATATTTGTAATGTCATTTTCCCATGTCTAAACTGTTTAATCTTCAATAAACAATAATAAAACACAAAATGAGAAGGTTATTTATATCTGAAATTCTTTGTATTTTTATAAATTTATGGTAGGTAGGTTTCTTCATTTTACAGTTGAAATTGCTGGATCTAACTGTAAGTTCTATGCTAACAGTTTCTCCTCTTGCACTCCTTGCTTGTTAAACTCTGTTCTGGCTTCTTGCTTCCCAGTTAACTTTGATCTTCAAAAATTTAAATGCTATGTCAATTATTATCTTATGTCTTTTAATTCCTGTTCTTTTATTGTTCTCTCTTTAATATTATTTTTCTTTTTCTCATATTTTTTCACACACTAATCCCTTGTATCCTAGTGGCTTTATTGCCTTATTTGGGGTGAAATGATTAAAAAAAAATTAATGTTATATATTTAGAGATAGAATAAAAATCTATTTAAGTTAAATTTTTCAAGAATTTCATAATTATAATTAGCAATAAGAAAAGTACAATATGAAACTAACTCTTTCATATATTAGGAGGGCAAGATATCAGTATAAGATTTTTGCTGAGAATCACAAATTCTTTTAACACATTGTTTGGCAACCATATGGTGAGCAGTTTTTATTATGATGCTGACTATGAGTTATCTCATGCTTAGCATTTTCTGATATATTTTCATCTGCAGGCACCAACAATGAGTTTATTCAAAGTGATATTTTTAGTGTGAAAACAATGTTAAGACTTCAGTTAAAGTTCAACTCATAAAAATATTTATTGCCTAAACTGGGTATTATAAAATTGGTACTTGAAGTTAGATTTCATAATTGACCTTTGGCAATCATTGGTGTTAACAAGAAATCAAAGAATTAGTTTTACAGTTGGCTTTTGTCATTGCTAATAATGATGATTATGGTACCAACAAATTTAATACACATTATATTTAAACAAGATTACTTAGTCATAGATATGAATAGACTGGTATAGACTTATTATTTGTGTTATATATTTTTTCATAGATGAAATTTTCCTGAAGTAAATCTTAAGACAACTGGTAGCATATCTTTATAATTTTGAAAAAGTTCATGCACTGTGAAGGTTGTATAGGGTTAACTGTATATGCCCGTCTACTCCCAAAATCAGGACATGAAATAAACATTAATCCCTGTCATACTAGTAACAACCCTGACTGCAAACTCAGCTAAAAAAGAAATGTTCATCTTTAGTTTGAACTGATTTACTTTGATTAGTATCACACCATGAGCTGGTGTAGTTTGAAATGAATATTAGTTGAAGCATCAAGGGGAATTCCCTCAGGCACTGGCTTTCCTTTGGGAGAGTGCTGTGGTCATTACCTAATACTTGAGGCATCCTCAGAAGGGGAAGTACTTCGGTGGGCTGAGCAATTTTTGAATGGCTTTCTGGAAATCCCACATTAGACTCTGATTCTATTGTGATGTGGGTGCATGGATAAATACCTTTTGATTAGTGTCCTCATCCTGCTTGTGATAGTCACAATGCTTTATCTGTTTTACCTTCCATCCTTCTTCAAGTGAATGTCATAATTTTTTCACCAGGGAACTTCAAACCAAATCATTTATTTAATCTAGGGGAGTAGCTTATTTTCATTCTACTGTATGTGCTGAGAATATCTAATATTAGTTAACTCAAGTATATAACATGTCTCATGCTACCTGACCCAGAGATTGAATTCATGGCTGCTAAGCTCACTAGGCTATAAAAAGGTGTTTCACAGAGTTTATTTATTTTGACTCAATGTTAGTAAATTTATATGAATTCAAATATAAATGGTTTAAAGAAATAAACTTAAATCAGTAGACATATAGATATAGGAGTTATACTATTTATTAATATCAATAAACCATTTAATCTGTTGTGTTATTTTAATTCTATTTTCCTTTTCTTTTCCCTTGACAACAAATATTACTATAACCTCAACCACACATTTTCAGATTGATAAATTGAAAATAAATACTTCATTGCTGTTGCAAACTTGGTAATTCAAATATTAATATTTATCTCAATTTTTTTATTTTTACATTAAATCTAAATTTCCTATCTGAAAGACAATAATTTTATTCACTGAAAAAGTTTTAAAGAAAATGGGAACGAGAAGGACACATATTCTTAAAATTACAAAGAGACAGTTGAAATTTATAAGATATATTATGAGGAAAGCGAGCCTGGAAAACTTAACACTCACAGGACATATAGAAGGACGGATTAACAGAAAGAAACAGTAATCTACCTAGTAAATTTGGAGGAAAGGATGGCAGAGCTGGGACATAGGGGGATGATAAATAATCAAATGTTGCTTAGAGTTACAAGGAACAGGAAGTCATTGCGAGTCATGATCCCTTACATCATGAAGGAACACAGCACATAAAGGAAATTGTTGATGATCTCATTCCTTCTATTCTCTAACAGGCTAATTATTTTTTTTATGAAATCAGTGATATTTTCTTCATTTTTGTAGATATTTATATTTTTATTCTAATATTTAGCCTCCAGCATTATTCATTAGAATTACATCCTCATCCACTGTTTTCAGGCAATGTTGGTTTTTGTTTCCATAACAAAACATGACAACACACCTGAGAAATTCAAACATAATATCCTTCACTGACTGCAACAAGAAGACAAACTTTTTGATTGGTGAATAAAATCATCTACAGAATTCTAAAGGTTAATATAGAAACACACTCTCAGACTTGTCTTGATATCAGAAAAATATTAAAAAGAAAAATAATTCCATGGGTTTTACCTTAGGCATTGGAATGCCTTTGGTGGGTTTTTTTGATTGAAGGTTCTTCATGGCTTTGTAATATTTTTTCTGGTCGTCTGTCATAAACATTTCCAAAGATCCACCGGCCTAAAACAAGATGGAAAAATTTAAGCAAAATGAAGACAGTTATATGCTGCTAAATTAGGCATTAATACATTAATAAATCAGACAAAGAAAAATGTAAGGAAAAATACATTAATACATATTTAAAGGACAGTGATGTACTGTAAATAATATTTAAATAATATAGCAAAGTAGAATAATATGTCCATAGGTAAATCAATCAAAACCTTTATATGCATGTCATGCATAGAGCCAAACTCATTCAGAAATAACTAACACTCAGTTGTATGCAACTGTTTTCTCAGATCAATGATTAAAAATAGCGGAGTGAATAAACCCAGTGGCACTTGGCAAAGACCATTCTTCTTCAAACATAGTGGATTGGCACTACAGTATCACAAACAAAGAACTATACCAAATAACAGAGACAGGACTTTTAACAACAGCAGCAACTAAAATGAATATCACATATAACTTGAAGAGAAAATAATGACATCAAAATGTTGATATTCCACATTACTTCAAAAGTTTAGGAAGGAAACTTCCATTAATACTGGAAATAGCAATAACAGCTACTGGACTTGAGAAACCTATTTTTGTGAAAAATTGTTTTAAAAGAAATTTCAACCCACAGTAGTACTGGCTGCTTGGTTAATGAATGTTAAATGCTTCCTTATAAGAAGACAGCTAATATTATTATTACCAGTATCATAATCTAATGACAAAGCATTTATTTTGAACAGTGAATACTTGTTAACATAATCTCTTTTTTTTCAATGAATTAGTGATATAGTTTCAGAATTATATATGCATCTGAAATTATCGATAAAAAACAGCTAATAACTAGGTCACTATGACTTGTATGCATACATACATTATATATATATATATATATATATATATATATAGATATATATATATATATATGTAGAGAGAGAGAGATAGAGAGAAATGGAGATAGATATAAATACAGATATGTAAAAATTCAGATATAACTAAAAAATATATCTGTAAAAAGACAATATTAATAAAGAGAAAAGGAAAACTTTTCTTAGCCAACATGTTTCATCCTCTGATGGATTTTCTCAAGGCAAATGAAAGGATTTTATTTTGCAATATGTATTTATAAACTGAAGTAAAAATGTTATTTTTTCAGAATTATAAAATTTAAGAACGCTTATACTTCAGACTAATTGAAAGTGAAGGTAAACTATGGGGCATGCTAAGTGATGTAATTTAATGTCTAATAAATTAAAGTGAGTAAATGTTGTTGAACTTTTTTATAATGTCATTATTATTTATTTTATTTTAGTTTGAGAAATTAATTTATGAATTATATATTTTAAGTAATAGAAGGTTTTGAATTTAACCATTTTCTTTTAATTTAAAAATATTTATAGTAAGATTTCTTGGGAAAGGAGATATTTAATAAAATCCAGGGTGCAGATTTATATTTTGGTGAGATTCCATTTAAGTAATTATAGATAACAGATGTGGTATTCTTAAAATTTTCTTAAATCATTTCATTCCAAGCAAAGTAATAATACCACTAGAATGCAGGAAGTTATAGGGAGTGAAAGAGAATAAGAAGACTTTAGTGAGGAAAAGGAATAGGATTCAGGAAGACAGAAGGTGGCAATTGCATTTAAATTTTTGAAGATTGTAGGAAGTAAGAAATCAGAAGTTGCACAGGTGGGAAGTGTGAGAAAAGAAACTATTAGAATAGAACTAACAGTTGCATCTAGCTAGTTCAACAGTAAAATGGTGAGTGCTTGCTGCCAATCTAGTAGCACACTTAAATTCATCTAGCTGAGGAACTAAGAAGAACAGTTCATCAGAACAATTATTATGAAAATATTTGTAGAAAACATAGAGGGACACCATGTAATGTTGGTGGGAATTTGTGATGCCAGGTCAGGATCAATTACATTACAGACCCATCTATGAATTTTGTCAAAATTCTTGATATATATAGTAAGAATACTAGATCAGATATAGCAGTAGTATTCCATGCAGGGACAAATAGTAGATATATAAATGTGCAAGAAGGATTTTGATGAGAAGAATTGTCAGGTACAACACAGTGAACAAACTTTTCTAGTAGTAGACCTAGGAATTGATTCAATAATTTCACTCCATTTCATGTCAGAAGGCACACAGTGTTGCTCTCCTGGATTTTAACATCAGCCATGTTGATGGCAGACAAAAAAGGTTATCTGAGGTGATTAAATGAAAGCAATTTTGTTTTGGAGGTGTTAAAATTTACAAGCCATGTCCTTTTTGAGATCAGTTGTCAGTTTTACTTTATCAGATTTACTGGAATTGCTACTAATATAGGAGCAAATAGTTGTGCTATCTGCATAGAGAAATAGTTGGGAACTTATGACATCAAGAAGGTTCTTGAAGATCAGAAACAGTTTAAGTCTGTGGACAGAGCCCTGGCAGATTCCTGCATTAATATGAAATGAATTAAAAGCATACCCATTCAACATGACCTTCATTACAACATTTGTTAGAAACAATTGGAGTAGGCCAAATATTAATCTGGAGACACTAGCCCTTGAGCTTATGGAGAAGGCCCGCATGCCAAATCCTACTGAACTCCTTTGAGATATCTAGAGCTAGAGCCTGTGCTTCACCATCATTCTTAAAGCTTGATAGACAAATTCAGTGTTGTCTGTTAATACATTGGTAGTAGACCTAGAGAAACAGAAGCCATATTGTTTATCCAAAAGAAGGCTGTGTGAATTAAGATGCTTAATCAATTCTGCATTGATTAGAGCCTCTAATACTTTGCCAAAAAGTGGTAAGAGACTAACTGGATGATAATTCGTGGGGTCAGATGGTTTCCCAGAGTTCTTAAAGACAGGAACTACAGAGAAGGACTTCCAACAAGTTGGAAAGCAAAAAGTAGTGAGGCACTTATTGCAAAGTTTTGAAAGAACAGGAGCCAGTTCAAGAGCACATTTCTTTAGGACAATTGCAGGGATACCATTGAATCTGCAAGCCTTGTGGGGATCTAGTTTAGAAATGATAGCAGGAAGCATGAATGGGGTTATGTGCATATCACTCAGTAGAGACTGTTTTAGGGGGGGAAATAAGGCAGAGATACTCCTGATGAGTCGAGAGTGGAGTTGGAAGAGAAGATCTGCTGTAGGTGGCAACACTTCAAATTGATTAAAGAGAGGAGAGACTGAGGATTTGCTTTTGTTCAGTACACTCTTGCAGAGCTGCCAGTAGTCTTTAGAACAAAACTTAAGATAGGCTAGACAGTGTCTCATTCTATTAGCGAATAGTGACTTTGCCACTTTGAGGGCATGATTACATTTATTATGAGTTATGACAAAGAGACAGCTGTTACAAGCAAACCTATTACTCTGGTATAGCCAGAAGTGATTCCTGTGGGTTATAGTGGCTGAACAGACAGGAGAGAACCAAGGAAAAGATTGTGATTTCACTTAGTTTTTCTGTTCTAGCACAAAAGCTTTGATGCTGGCTTTCACCCAGAAAGAAACCTCAGTACCACATTTCTCAAAAGGGAATCATGAAAGAAACCACAAAATGAGTCCCAATCAGTGTATCGATAACAGAAAGATATTCTGTTAATAGGGGATTCTTGCCTAGTGAGAGTGAGTGGAAAGAGAAATCTATAGACACTACCATGTGGTTGAAGTTGCTAAGAGGACAGAGATGCAGAGCACAACATGATTCCTGAGAGGAGGTAAGGAAGAGATCAAATAGAGAAGTGTGTCCATCAGAGTTACTAAGGAAATGCATGGGAAGTCTACTATTTAGTAGATTGAAGTTGTGGCTGAACTTATGTCTATGTATGACTAATGCATTTGATAAATTGTTATGTATAAGATCCTTTTTGTGTTCATAGATACGTTTCTTAAAATTTCGGCAAGTTTTCCCAATATATTGTAGAGAACAGTTGTGATACTTTATTTTATATATACCTGCTTCAGAATTATAGTATTGATATTTTTGATTGTGATCATATCCATAATAGTTTGGGATGAATATGATAAATTGTTTTGGAAAGTAGATGCTAAGGAGTTAGTAGATTGTATTATATTTTTAAGATATCTCCTTTCCAAAAAAACATACACCTTTCCTTAGCCAACATACAACACTATAACATTTTTTGAATTAAAAGAAGATGGTTAAATTCAAAACCTATTATTAAAATATATAATCATAAATTAATTTTGAAAACTAAATAATAAAAATAATAATTACATTATAAAAAACTAATAACATAAAATAAAAATTGAACAAAAATAACATTTAGTCACTTTAGTTTATGAGATATTAAATTACATCACTTAGTGCCTTCCATAACTTAACTTGACTCTCAGTTAGCCTGAGATATATTTGTGAGTATTCTTAAATTTAAAAATTCTAAAAAACTACCATTTTTACTTCTATTTATAATTACTCTTGTCACAATAAAATTCTTACATTTGCCTTGAAATGTGTCTGGTAAGAAAAGTTTTTTTTGTCTTTATTCATTCATATATATATATATATATATATATATATATATATATATATATATATATATATATATATATATATCAAAGCATAAATTAAAGTTAAAAGATAGAAATAAAAGCAAATATTGAATAGCTCTGGTCAATAAATACTTTCACTGCTAATATAGTTGGGTTGGTAAAGTAGTTATGGGAGAGTGCTTCACTCCTTTTTCAAGAGCAGTAGTGAGATGCAAATATAAACAACTTCCATTATCATTGTGAATGATGTAAATTAAACTGTTAAATGATAAAAGATATGATCATAAAACAAGAAAACAACCATTAGATAAATTTTGCAAAAGTGTATATATGTTGCAATAAAACATGTACATAAATTGTAATAAAACATATATATTGTTATAAAATTATATATAGCAATAAAATATTCATATCATGATAAAAAGAATAAATATATTGCAATAAAGAAAACAGACACACACATACATACACACAAATATATATATATATATATATATATATATATAT